AAAATCACTTGGCGCCCTTGACTATAAATTAAAATTCATTAATCAAACATATTTTGTGAACTCTGAATCCACCCCGACTCCACTGTAGCTTAGTCGAGGCCTAACCCTGTTTCATAACAACGCAAAACTTACGTAACAACACAAACGCATTCGGTTTTTAAAAGACTGTTCAACATGTCTGGCGTAATTTCTTGAAATGCTACTATAATATTATTACGAGACTAGAAATCTGTCGCATCAACTAGATTACAGATTCGCGAAACACGTCGATCCCCGAACAAAGTGGATGGTTCTCGATGTTTGGTAACTCGTATAAATACGACGCATCGCCGGCTACCGGGGCAGTTAAGTTTTGACTACGGATAAGCGAACGTTATACTGTTTGAGAACTGTAATCTGTGACGAGTAAATATTTCGTCGTTCGAACTTGGCTTTTACCGACTGTAACATATAATATTAATTTTGATATGGATAAACCAGGCCCCAGTAAGAAACGTAGTCGTAAGGTTGAAGATGAAAATCGACAGTTTCATGATATTTGGACCGAAAAATACTTTTTTATTTCATCGCATAACAAAATTGTCTGTTTAATATGCAAGAGTAGTGTTTCTATTCCGAAGGAATATAATGTGAAAAGGCACTATGAAACCCAGCATCCAACTTTTACCAAATTAACTGGCGAAAATCGAACGCAAAGAATTTCCACTTTACAACGGGAACTAATAGGCCAGCAATCTATGTTTACAAAACCAATTCAAGATGCTGAAACAGCCACTGAAGTTAGCTTTGAAATATCTCGAATAATAGCGAAAACTTGTCGGCCTTTTAAAGATGGTGAGTTTGTTAAGCAATGTTTGGATATCGCCGCAAAAAAAATTTGTCCGGAAAATGTAAAGAAGTTTGAAAAAATTCAGTTAAATCGGATGACTGTTCAAAGAAGAATTACCGCATTAGCAGATAATATAGAAGAGCAATTAGCTACGAAATCGAGAAGTTTTGAGTATTTTTCTATAGCGCTCGACGAATCTACAGATATAAGTTCAACTGCTCAACTATTAATATTTTTACGAGGTGTAACGCAAAATTTTGAAGTGAGTGAAGAACTGATTGGTATGAGTTCTTTGACAAGTCAAACCAGGGGAAGTGACATGCTCAAAGCTCTTCTAGAAAAATGTTCTATAATGGATTTGGATTTAACGAAAATATCTGGAATTACAACTGACGGAGCACCTTCAATGGTTGGAAGTACATCTGGGATAGTAACTCTGTTAAAAACATATTTACAAACTAAAAACATAAATACCAAGGAATTAATGCAGTTTCATTGTATTATACATCAAGAGGCCCTCTGTTCAAAATTATTGGGATTTGAAAATGTTATGAAAGTTGTAGTACCTACCGTAAACTTTATAAAATCACGAGGTCTCAATCACCGACAATTCAAACAATTTCTCGAGGATATTGAAAGCGAATATGGTGATCTCCTGTTTTACACTGAAGTAAGGTGGCTAAGTCGTGGGTTGACACTACAGCGATTTCTTAACTTGATTGAAGAAATCCAACTATTTCTGGCGGAAAAGAAAAACGACGTCCCCGAACTCGACAACCCTGATTGGCTGTGTGACTTAGCGTTTCTTGTAGACATCACAAATCACTTGAATGTCTTAAATACGCGACTCCAAGGCAAAGATCAATTGATTTCGCAGCTATACTCTCATGTTTCGTCCTTTCAATGCAAATTGAGTCTTTTCAGGACACAAATCAATTCAGCCAATTACGGCCATTTTCCGAACTACAAAAAAATTATGGAGAAGTTCAATAAAACTGACGTCAATTTCGCTCATGTTGAAAAAATTGATATTTTGATACAAGCTTTTGAAAATCGTTTTGTAGACTTCAAAAAAGTTAAACCGCTATTGGACATTTTCAGCAATCCTTTCAACATTTCACCCGAAAATGCGCCGGAATTAATGCAGCTGGAATTAATAGACATGCAAAATGATGATAATTTAAGAAACAAATTTAATGAAGGTAATTTACTCAACTTCTACCGTTGCGTTGATAAAAACGCTTATAAAGAGTTGCGAATAAATGCATTGAAATGCGCAAGCTTATTTGGATCGACGTATATTTGTGAACAAACGTTTTCAGTGATGAAACTTAACAAAACGAAAAACCGAAACCGTCTGGCAAATGAAAATTTGGAAGCAATTATACGTGTGGCTACAAGTAATGTGGAGCCAAATATAAAAAAACTTGTTAGTTCAATGCAATGTCATGCATCAAAATAATAAAACATGAAATATTACATTGTAATGATTACATAATTATTACAACAAACATTTTTGAAGGCTATTTTATTTTTATCATTGTATTTCATACTATTTAAAAATAAAAAATTTTGTGTTAATAAATATTGTTTGTAGTGGCCCGTCCTTGGCTTATATTTTTCCCGAGTGGCCCCTGTTCCCTATAAGTCTGTGCATCCCTGAGTTAGATGCTGGTCAAAAAAGAATGGTCCAATGACATAGGTTCCCAAAATTGCTCTCCCCACGTTCAATGACCATCGTTCGCTATGAGTTGTCCGGAATTGGTGAGGATTTACTGTATGATAATAATGGCAGTTATGACTCTATTAACGAAACCATTTTTATGAAAAGTATGGAGAATATGACGCGTTTAAAAAAAAATCATCATCTTGATTTAACATCTCAAGTGTCCATTGGCAAAACTCCAGTCTCCGCTGAAAGTCTACTTTTAGTAACTCTTGGTGTAATTAGATGCGATAAGGATGTGTTGTGCTGTGCTTTTGTAAAATCCTATGTATCGACATTGTACTAATACAATTGCAGGGCCATCTTGACGCTGTTATATAGCTACTATTTCGGACTTTAGAAAAGAACCTGATTTTTCTAGAAAACTGTTAGAGATAAGTATGGACAACCTTATATCAGTCGAAAGGACATTAAATTTTGCATTCATCCATAACAATTAATATGGGTCATTCCATCTGAAAAAAAAGTTTTTCAACTCGTAAGAATATTAAATGTAAGTTTCAGTATTTCCGAGTCTGAATAACATACGCGTTTTGCTGATAGATGACAAGATAGAGTAATTTATGCCAAAACGAACTGTGAAAATTGCCGGTTTCTAACTCTTACGGTTTAGACAACTGATTATCTCGAAAACGGTAAGTTTTAAACACCATGTAATGTTAATAAACTCTACCTAATGTTAACCGAGGAATTAAAAAACGCAATAATATACTATTTAAAATAACAAAGTTATGCAGCGCCCACGCGAAATAGAACACCCTGTAAAGCTAAAAATATTTTCTTTACATGGCCCACATGATTTCAGACAACTTCTATTAAAATCATTTTTCTATCAATTTTACATTTACAGAGTTACAGAAAAATCCCTCTTAGGTGGAATAATATTGGTAAATAATAAAAAATCTTTCATATTTTGTACTCTGCCGATTACAAATGCTCTTATAATGTTTCAGTTAAGAAACGTCACTTTTAATGCCCAAGAATTAAATTTAGATCTGAAGGGTGTCCCCAAAAGTAGTGCAAGCTTTCAATTGTGCGCCATTTTCATTCCAAAGAGTTGGCAGCATTGTGCAGGGTCACATGTTGCGGTTAGACAAAATGGAGCGCTATACGACAGGTGAGCGAGTGGAGATTATGAAAATTCAATACAAGTACCGAGAGTGTGTAGCTGAGACTGTGCGCAAATTACGTGGAATTTTCGTTAAAAAGAACGCTCCGAATGAAACAACAAAAAGATTCCGTTGTAGACGATAAAAAATGTTTCAAGCAGATAATAATAAAATGTTCAATTTGACATTAAAATATTTAGGTATACCTTTAGAGATTACACAGCAACATTATTGTATCCATCTGGGAACGCCTTGAGGTATTTGTTACTCATAGCCATCTGTGTACAATTACTTTTTTCATTCATTGTAACTTGTTATATTTTTGTTGAGTTATTTGATTCAATTCACTATTTTTCTAACTATTTTGAAACTAATATAATAGAAAATTAATAATTTCATGACAACCGACTATCGAACTGATTTATTTAAATTTAACTAGTACTGGGGCCGTCAAATGACGACCGTTACAACCGTACTCTTGATTGAGCACTTTTCAATCGAGCCACAATTGTTTAATTGAATGGCATCAATTTAAGCCCTCTAATAAAGATGGAGCGGCCAGTAAAGTTTAATAATGCTGTATTAATTAAACGTTATATCGAAAGTACGTAAACGTGCAGGGTTAATTACAGACGTCGAAATGAATCGCCCATAAAAGTTTTTTAATTAATAATAAATATAATTAATTACTGAATTTATGCTAGCAATTTCTCTTCGGAGAAAAAAAAACTTTGAAAACTTTTTACTAGAAGCATAACTGGAATTTCTTACTGGTTGAACTACGACGGCAAATATTGATATTCTGGTGCCATATAGATGTTTTTATATGTGAAACTTGTAGGGTGAAGTAGTAGTTTTCGAGATTATATTTCCAACTCTTATATTCAACTTTTTAAAGCAATAGTTATAAAACAGTCAGATATGTTTGGAAAAGCGACACTTATTTTGAACAAGGTAACATTAGATATGATGTGCAAGATACAATATGCCACAGATAACATCAGAAACTGACGCGATCGATACAGAGAAAAGTGCATATAGTGAAGTTGCACCTGGGTATAATTGTAGCATTATACATATGTTGAATGTACGAGGCATATCCACAAAGTAAGAGTATTGAGACTGATGCTCTGTGGTTTTTGTTTTCATTTCAAGGTTAAGATGTTGAGCGTAGACGCACCTTCATTTGTCTCAATCAGTTGAAAACTGTTGTTGTAGTGTTGAAAAAATTGCTAGTTGGTATTCCATTAAAGATTATTAGTAAATTTATCTTTTACATATAATATTGGTAGGTATATACATAAAAAACCAGAAAGTTATTGACTCTAAGACTTACCTCAAAACTGATCAGTCCGCTGCGATCTTGATCCAATGTGTTAAAAACGTAATGGGCATATTGGCTAGTGTTGGCTGAAACAATAAATTAAATATCAGAAGAAAGATTGATTTAGGAAAATTAGACAGAGGCGTAGGTATGGAGAAGGTTTTTCTCTGTTCTGTTCCAATCTGGTTTTTACTTCAACTTTTGCACCATAGATGCAATAATTGTAATTTAAACACAGTTTTAGTTCCCTTGAATATTTTTGCGTAAAAATGTCACACCATTTTAAGGTCTGAAAATGAACCGTTTAGGAGAAAATGACCATTAAAAAATCATTATACACCACTTTTATAGTGACTCAAAAGTTACGGGTATGGAAGAAAAATCTATCATTAGGTTTTAATAAATAACAGTACATACAGGTTCGGAAAGTACCGATGGTCCATCTGCCGTTACGTGAGAGCGATAAAGTAAGTCATAGAAATCCGTGCGATAGAGAAATATGGCTATAATGAAAGCGTCTAATAGTCACCACACATAAGATCTTCCACAAATAAGATCCACTTCTTATTTGTGGAAGGGCGAAATGGGCGGTGACTATTAGACGCCTTCATTATAGCCATCTTTCTCTATCGCACGGATTTTTATGTCTTACTTTATCGCTCTCACGTAACGGCAGATGGACCATCGGTACTTTCCGAACCTGTACAACCAATTCTTCTTACAATTAGTCAAAAACTTCAAAACACTAAACAGTGATAAAATCACTTTTGTAACGTTGTTAATTTTACATCGGACTCGGAGAGACGAATATCAGCGTTGGCATCTTCTATCAACTCGGAAACAATTGCTATTATCGATTTTTCATACAAATTTAATAACAATTGTTTTTCTATACGATCATAGAATTTGCTGCACTGTAAAATGGTCCATAAGTATCTTCTCCATATCTACACCACCATTACAACAACAATCTAAGGCAACAATAAATATACAGGGTGTTCCGGTTCATGATACAAAAAAGTCTATTATAGATACATGAGATCAAAATAATATCAGTTCTTCGTACAATTTTGTTTCATACCGGCCTTCGTTAACAAGTTACGGCGCCCTCAAAGGTGAAAAATAAAAAGGTTAATTTTATTTATAGTCTCTACACCATTAACTTCAGCATGATGCAAATTTGGTGATCGATAACACATGCATACAGCTTGTTTTTGACGTTGTAAGTGAAACTTCATTATGTCCAGAACGCCAGGAAGGGACTATGCCGGATGGCACGATGGCAATCTGCCACCATCAAAAATAAGTTCCTTGAAGAATTTGACAACAGTAATACCCTCTTGGTTCAACGCGGTAAAATTAACAGTTTAGGATATATTTGTGATTTTATGTCATAGTGCACATCGAGCGGCACCTCCACCATTTTTTGTTTTTAATTTTTTAATAGCACTCAATTACTATGTTAGAAGCGAACATATTTTGAAAATAAGAGCCTGGAAATTTTACTGTCTCTTAATGTAATTTTCAACAACAAAATTTGACATACACACTTTAGACAAAACAAAATAGGAAAACAACTAAATAATATGATCAAATTTTTTGACAGGTGACATTACAACCTCAGTTTTTAACATTATATGAAGGTGGCTTTTCTAAGGTGTATCCTCTTTTTTAAATTTTTTGCGTAGTTTAAGTAATTAATTATTTTATTATTTATTAGTTGCCACCAATACATTTTGGTTACAAATCTGAATTCATCAAAAACTTGAATTATTTAATAATAAAATCGAAACGAATTTGAGAAATTTGTAATAGCATGCTCTTTCATGAAAATTGTTAGAAATGGTTATCTTTTTCTGTAACACGTAATTTAGTAAAAGAATGAATTCCATTCGTATCAGTTTTTGAGTGCATTCAAAGTGGTGTTTATTGCCAATAATTCTCGTTAAAGAACATTGCATTTAATTATATCGTACTCTATGAGGTAATATTTTGTTTGGTTATCAAATAAATGAAATTTTTGGAATTAATTAAATCAGATTTGTATAAAAATAATAGTGGGTAGTGACTAACCAAATAAATTATGCGAAAACTGTGAGGAATAAAAATTTACAAAACAGAAAAGTTTGAAATAAACTTTTGAGGTAAATAAGTTGAAATTGTCAAACAAGGTCGAAATCTAAGATTAACAAACTGTCAAAAAAAATTTTTTCGAACAAATTACGTACAATACTCATTCAATTGTCAATAGATTCAAAAACAAGTTTTTAATTAAAAAGAATACAGGGTGTTAGAAGTTTGACTGCCTTAATTTTAACAGACGATAGAATACATTAAAATAAAAAAAACCTTATGGTTTTTTTTTATGGAACATTGGTCCTAAACTCAACCATTTCCGAGAAAAAAAAATCTAAATCTCCAACTTGATGTACAAAAGTTCGATTAATTAAGGAATATTGACATAACTGCCTGCATAGAATCACTTATCACTTTTTTAACTTCTTTATTATTCTAAAAAAATAGTTAGCGTTGTAATAAATTTAAATTTCAATAAAACTCATATCGAGCAATGTGAAAATGGGCGGCGAATAACACGAGGTACTAAGTTGCCCAGCCAGTAACTCGCAATTCAGTTGGTATCTGGAATTGGATCGCATCTCAGTGTTTTTGCGTACCACTATTTCCTTTTCTTGAGGTGTTTTCTAGCGAGTGTGTGAATATTGGATTCGAAGGTGTGGTGCGTGCATCGGAAATGGTGGTGAACATTTTGAGCATATGTTGTAGTCTGTTTTGTACTTGTACCTTTAAAAATTACTGAATTTTGCTTTTTGGTAAGTACTTAAATTATTTTTAATATGTATGATTATTTGGATGACGTGAATCTTTGGTTACTTTAATTACATATTTTTCAAATTCATAATTTGATTAAAAGTTAAGTTCCTGTTTTAAGAGATTCATAATTACTAAAATTTGAGGTAAAATTTAAGCACAACACTATCTATACATTTTATTCTATTTATTTAAAAACTGAAAAACAATTGTCTTGAAATTTACTAAATGTTTCACAATAATAGTTGTTTACATTTTTTCCGTAGGACAAGTCTGCCGCGTGCACACGTAGTATGCATCAGCAGTGTGGTGTTAGGTTAAGCGCTGTTGTCACGTTGTGATGAAACACCCCAACATTAATACTCGCTGAAATTTGAAAACTGTTAACCTTACGCCCCTGTAATATACAACTTTCTTGTTCATTTATGATTACTCTATCTCATGCTGAAGTAATGGCAGACAAGCTTCTTACACCCTGTATAAATGATTTCAATTCTTCGAAGTTAATAGATAAATTTTTAAAAATACTTCTGAAATTTTAGGATTCTGCGCTCCTCCCTGGTTTTAGTTTCCCAATTTTAATTTCTATATTCTAAACTAATTACACCCTTGTTTTATATTTAGGTTCCAAGTCCTTAATACATTTATTGTTAGATTACCACTTTCAAGGTTAGTATATAATAGGACATCTGGGACCTGGGAGTTTTCATCACAAATAAACTTCGTTATATACTTATTATTGTCTCTGGAACTTCAATAAGTTGTCAAGAGCGCCAAGACAAACCGTATCAAACTTTCATCCGCGTTGCTCTAATCAACTTCTTAATTTACATCCTTGTTTACTCTCAAAGATTGCCCTACTTCTTGATGGAAATTCGCGAAAAAAAACGTGTTGAAACCTTCTCTACCTTGTTGATAAAACGTGTTGTTTACAACTAATAACAAATGTGTTATATATTTTCAGCTAAGTACATTTTTTTAATCGGCTGTTTAACCGACTATATTTTTAGAATTTGAAATCTATACAAAACATTTTTATACCCAAAACACTTTCATCGGCTAGTTTGGGATGCTTTCGGTTTGATGTACTTTTATCATGCAAAAGTGATTCATAATTTATTAAGTGAAAGAAAATATTTACGTTACGAGATTATACGACTAACGCAGACGCCGCTTTGAACTTCATAATTATGCAGCGATTTACTAAAATTAGGGTACGGAGCGCATACCTTTACGTATTAAAGCTGTAGTTATCCTTTCGGCTTAATGGTTAATACTTATTTGCTTTAATGTAGAACATAACTTATTCCAAGTAACATTTTAAAATACAGGGCGATTTAGGTTTAATCTGGGTAACTTCAGGAATCGATAGAACAGCTTAAAATAATGTCCATTCATGATATAAACTTATTTCCTAAATCACATCGTTTCGGAGATAGAGGGCGTTGAAGTAGGAATTTTTTCCTTTCCTTAGCACTAAAAACACTTTTGAAATAATACTTTTAACGATGACTTTCATGAACGTCAGTTTATACAAATCATTGTTTTGTTTTTCATGGGTTGCTATTTATTTTGTAAAAAATTTAAGTGGTCTATAATATAAAAACAATATTCTTTGATTTCGAAAATCTAGGTCTACCACTTAGAAAAGATCCTTAGTTGATAATGTTCTGAAGTTAACATTGTTTCAACTAACACTGAAAGTGCTAGTTTGTGAAACCATTGATGGTCAAGGACAAATTGATGTTTTATACAGGATTTTCAAAAAGCCTTTGTCCAAGTTGATCCTTATATATTGCTTAATAAACTTGATAGTTTTGGGTTATCCCTGACAGAGAGACAACAGTTTGTCAGGTACGAAGGTTATAATTCGTTCAGATTTGATGTGACATCTGGTGTACATCAGGAATCTAATTTAGGACCATTGTTATTTCTTCCATTTACTATGATTTATCCAACATCCTTTCTTGATGTAAATTTCCAGGCCTGTGCAGTAACGCCAGAGCGTGATCTTGAGGTCGCTCCCCGTATCGTCATAGCCGTTACACACCCTTCCAAGTTTGCGTAGCACAGTGGTGGGAGTGAAATGGAAGGTCATCGTCTCCAATATATCTTCATTCGTTCATATAAGTACGAGCTTATGTAAAATAGATTATTATCAATTGTGCGCTTAGGAGGAACAACATTTTATTATTTATTGCGGAAGAACTGTTTAATTGACGCTAGCGGGTATAATTTTTAATTTTTTTGAAATAAT